GCAGATATTGATCTTATAATTCATTGCAGTGCGGAGTAGATGTCAACGCAACTCATAGGGTTCTGCTTCGTTCTTTAAAGCCTTCTCTTTATACCGATGTTGATTGTACTGCATTGGCTGCTGCTGTTGTCAACAGACACATTTCTGTTGTTAAATTGCTATTAGAGGTAAGCTAATCTTTGCTCCCAATGTCCAGAAAGTCCCTCTTAATGATTGATTTAATAATCTATTGTTGTTGTTTGTTCATTGATTAATTTACTCAAAATTGGGAATTAGGCTGAAATCAAGATGGATCAAAAGGTGAAATTGGGAGCATGGAGTTGGGACATTGACACAGGGGAAGAATTTAGGGTAGGTGCAGGACTAGCAGAGGCCTACCCTATCACCTGGTCCGCAGTGGAGTATTATGAAGGCAGCGGTGCCATCGTGCGGATGCTCCTCCAACACCTCTCCCCCAATGCCCTTCATGGCGGGAGGACTGTCCTCCACCATGCCATCTTATGCAACAATGCTAGAGCTGTAGAAGTTCTTTTGAATAATGGTGCTGATGTAGAATGTCCGAGTAGTACCACTTCCAAAATAGGGCTCCACCCTGTTCATTTGGCTGCGCGGCTTGGATTTGCTAATGTTCTTCACTGCCTGATTGTAGCCGGCTCTAATCTCAATTCCCAGTCAGCAACAGGAGAAACTGCCTTGATGATTAGTGCTAGACACAAGCATGAGGAATGCTTCAAAGCTCTGGCCTTGAAGGGGGCTGATTTTGGATTGGTGGATTCTGCTAGCCAAAGTGTAGTCTCAATTGCAGGGTTAACGAAGTGGACTAATGGTTTTCGGAAAGCAGTACTTGACTTAATTCGAGCAGGGAAGATACCTCAATCAAGCAATTCCACAGTCTTCTCTCCATTGATTTTTGTGACTCAAGCAAATGACCTCGAGGCCTTGAAGAAACTCATTGAGAAAGCAGACACTGACCTTGATGAACGAGATGTGGATGGATATTCTGCTGCAATTGTAGCTGTAACGTGTGGCAATGTAGAAGCTTTCAAATTGCTTCTCTATGCCGGTGCAGATGTAAAGTTGAGAAACAGCAATGGTGAGACAGCGATCAGCCTGTCACACTCAAACCCAAACAGTGAAGCATTTGATAGAATAATGCTCGAGTACACACTCCAAGAAGGCAATAGATTATCGGGATTTCATGCACTGCATCGAGCGGCGCTCCGTGGAGACTTGAACTCACTTCACATCTTAATAAAGAGAGGGTATGATGTTAATGCCTTTGACGGTGATGGATACACCCCACTCATGTTGGCAGCAAGTGGAGGCCACGGCGGAGCATGTCAAGTCCTAATTTCTTGTGGCGCAAGGTGTGACTTGGAGAACGGAAGGCATGAGACAGCACTGTTGTTGGCCAGGAAAAATGGCGAAGGCAATGTAACGGAGCAGGTAATTCTAGACGAACTTGCTCGAAAACTCGTTGTCAGTGGAGGTCGGGTAAACAAGCACACGAGGGGGGGAAAGGGGAAACCCCATGTAAAAATGTTGAGCATGGTGTGGGCTGCTGGGGTACTACGGTGGGGGAAGTCCAGAAAGAGGAATGTGATATGTAGGGCGGTGGAGGTCGGGCCTAGTATGAGGCTCCGGTGGAATAGGCGGAGGAAGTTTGATGTGGAAGAACCCGGAATCTTCCATGTTGTGACTACGAAGAACAAGGAGGTGCATTTTGTATGTCAGGGTGGGGCGGAGATGGCTCAGCTTTGGGTGAGAGGGATCAAACTTGTAACAATGGAAACCGTTTTGGGATGAAAAAGACTTAAATTGGAATTTTTTTTTTTTTTTTTACTTTTTTGTTTTATATTTCCTAGGGATTTACCAAAAAATTTTCTAAGGGACATGTAGTCTTACTTCATGCATTGTAATTTTGTAAAGTATTTAAGTTTAGAAAAACATCTTGCAAGGGAGCTGGTGGTAGGAATGGCAACGAGCCGAATCTGTGTATTAGGAAGCTTATGCTCTTCTCGTTTAAAATGCTAAAAATGCTAAACTCAGGTTTGGCATAAATAGGAACATTCAAGTTAGAAAAACTAAAGATCATTTTTACTCATTGACTAAGTAAACTTAAAATGGAGTTTGAACTTTCTTGATTAACAGAACATGTGAAGTTTTATAAAAATGCAAGCTCCAGAGGCTTAGTTTGGTTTGTTGACACTTCCCTTTCCTTCATTTCATTTCCTTTAAAACAATTTTTAAATTTTAACTAATGTGTTATTAGACTTAAGGTATGTTTAGTTTAAAAGAAAAGAAAGAATAAAATTTTGAATTAGTTAAATTATAATATTAATCAACATTATAATTAGATTGTTTAGAAAAATTACTTCCTTTCATTTATCTCAAACCAAATACATTCTCAAATTTCATTTAAAATTGATGTGTTGTATTATGGTTGTGATGGTATATTTTTCTATATTTTACTATCTAATCTAAAAATATATAAAAGATTAATTAAAATTAATTAAATATAATAACTTTATATTTTTAAATACTATTTTACTCCATATGTTGAAAAACATTATATACAATAATCCCAAAAGAAATATGAATAAAATGCTAAAAAGTTGGAATCAAAAGCCAACAGAACAATTGGGAAGAGGGTAAAAATGAATAAAACAAAAAAAATGGTACTTTTACGTAAAGTAACATAACCTATGGATAACAAATAAAATTTTTAGAAAAAAACAAATTACAGGTCACTGTAAAATTCCCCTCCAACTCCGATTTGAAGCTCCGAATTCCATAACCGCTCTGAAAGCCCTAAAACCTTCGTCCAGCAACTTGAGAAGCTTCTCCGTGGTTTGTCAATGGCGAATCTTCCAATTCTTCAATTTGAGGAGAAGATTATAGAAACAGTGGACCAGAATCCCGTGGCCGTGATAATAGGAGAGACTGGTTCCGGGAAGAGTACTCAGCTCTCACAGATACTCCACAGAAGAGGTTACACTAAATCAGGAATTATTGCCGTTACTCAGCCTCGCCGTGTCGCCGCCGTCTCTGTTTCCAGGTAAAGTTTCAAAGCTGTTTTTCTTTTTCGCTCATTCACTTCGTGATTCCTTAATTGCTTTTTTTGAATTCACATGGACATGAATCTTTAGAGATTATTGCATTTTGTGCTAGAGAGAAGGAAGAAACAACATTCCTAAGTCAATATTGTTGAAAGGATTTGCTTACAGGCTTCATTTTGAAATTGTTTAATGTCTCTTATGATTGCATCATTGAGCTAATGGAATTTTTGGAGCCCTTTGTGTTGATTTTGTGCTTGATGAGTAGTTACGGTTGATTTACTTGCATTCATGCCCTTGTTGCTTGTTTCTTCAACGCTATTGGTGACTTTTAGATGAACCTGTGTGAATCAACTTGTTTCCTTCCTAACTTTTGATGTGGACAGACGAGTTGCACAGGAGCTTGGTGTGAGGCTTGGAGAGGAAGTGGGTTATGCCATCCGGTTCGAAGATAGGACTTCGGAAAAAACACAAATCAAGTAAATGCTCAACTTGTTAACAAAACATTTAGTTTTTTGTTTCATTATCATTTATGATTTGCCAAGACTATTGGTGTCTTACTATAGGGTTGTAAACTGCTTAGATACCTTACCGATGGAGTGCTCCTTCGTGAAAGTCTCTCAAATCCCAAGCTTAATCAGTACTCTGTTATCATTTTGGATGAAGCTCATGAAAGGAGTCTAAACACGTATGTTTTACTTTTTACATTATTTCTTTTGTGTACCTTTTTTTTTTCTTTTTTCTTTTTTTTTTTCTGTTGCTTTTCTTGCATTTAGATCCTGCAATGCTTATTTTACCATTCATTTCTCAGGGACATATTGCTGGGACTGATGAAACGGTTGATTAAAATACGTACCTCCAATTTGAAGGTTCTGATTACATCAGCAACCCTTGATGGAGAAAAAGTATCAAAGTTCTTTTCGAACTGCCCTGTGTTGACTGTCCCAGGAAAATTACATCCTGTTGAAATATTGTACAGTAAGGAACGTCCAACAAGCTATATCGAGTCCTCTCTAAAAACAGCTATTGGTATGATGAGAATTTAATTTACCATATCTTCCATGATTTATATCTTTGTATATATGTTTGGTTGCTTCTTTCTGTTGTTTTAGGAGAGGCTTAAATTTTTGTTATGCTTAAATGTCTATTATTTTCTGTTTTAATTTAAATTTTGATTATGTTTTCCCTCTATTTTTTATTTTCTTTTTCTTCCTTTAAATTCTGGGGCTTTACTATGACTTGCAGATATACATGCTCGGGAACCAGAAGGTGATGTCTTAATATTTATGACTGGACAGGCAAGTTCTCTCTCTCTTTCTCAATTTTTGTGTGTGTGTGTGTGCACGAAAAAGTGTTGACCTAATTTGTAATTTCTGCTGGAGTAAATCATTGTTTAATTTGATGTTTCTTGTTGGACACTTCTTTCTATTGTTAATACCATGAGTTTCCTTTTATAGGATGATATAGAGAAGCTAGTATCAAAGTTGGAGGATAAAGTTCGAAGTCTGGAGGAAGGATCATGCATGGATGCAATAATCCTCCCGCTTCATGGTTCCTTGCCACCTGAATTGCAGGTCTACTTTCTGTCTAGGTTTTTCATTGTTTCTGCCTTATCCTTATTGTTACTTTCTTTTTATTAACCATAGAGAAATTGTCTGGTTCATTGCCAAATATTTAGATCCAAAATTAGTTTAATTTTAACTAGTCTTGAGAGTTGAGACAGATCATGGATGTCAAGTTGTGCATTTTGCATAAAATTTTTAGTTGAATCTTGTTTTTGTTGACATTGCAGGTGCGCGTGTTTAGCCCTCCACCTCCAAATTGTAGGCGATTTATTGTTGCCACAAACATTGCTGAAACTTCTCTAACTGTTGATGGTGTTGTGTAAGGGAACCTGATATTTTACAACTTACCAGAATTACTTTTATTTAATGTGACCAACTTGTCAAAGTGCTAGTTTAGCCCTTAATTGTATTCCTTTTTTTCACCATTGGTCTTAGTTAGGGTCAAATTTTGGTTAGTCACTAGATTTCCTCAAGTGGGGAAATTTTTAGAATTTCCTTCTTAATTCTGAATTTGTTTACATATCGTGAGAGCTCTACATTGATGGGGTAGTAGCAGTGATTCTTTATCTTTTATCATACTTTGGGATGATTTCTTTGGTCATACTTTTGGGTGATTTCTTTGGACATACTTTTGGGTGATTTCTTTGGAGGTAGAGGATTAAATAGTTGTCCTTGCTGTTTTGAATTTTTTGGATAAAACTGATACAATTATAGGTATTAGCATGAGGACCATAAATTGTACAGAAGCCCCTTGATTTTGGTGTTTATGGTCTAAATTTTTTTGTAAACTTAATTTACAAGACCCAAGCTGAAGAATTTTGCTCTTAGTAAGGCTTTTGCTTTAAGGTCATGGTTTGATGGATTTTCAAGGGAGAAAATTAATTAAACATCATGGATTTGAAATTTGTAAATGTCAGAGCACTCTTTTTTCTTATAAAGCATAGTTTTATTCTAGAAAAATGAATATAATAAGCTACAAAGAAAGTAATAGAATAAAATGTTGAAATCTAATAGCTTATGTTTTCTTGATTTAATATAAATATAAATTTTCTACCAAAGGGAAGGTAACAAGATTCGATTTTCAGTGTTCTTTCCTGCCAAAATATGGAAAACTTATGTATAGCCCAGTTATTACTTATTATTCTTACACCTTAATTGATTTCTCATTTTGAAATTTTTGGACTTGTTGATAGGTATGTTATTGATGCTGGTTATGTAAAGCAACGGCAGTATAACCCTGCAACTGGCATGTATTCCCTTGATGTTGTTCAAATTAGCAAGTAAGCTGATGATTTAATATGTTTTCGTGTAGCATATACTACATGTTCCCTGAGGAGTAAGCTGCTGAATGATTTTTTTTTTTTTCCTATTATTTAAATTTATTATCATATTCAACTTTCATTTCATTCATGATTCTGCTCTTATTTTGCATGAGTACATTTTATATTTGCAAACTTATTTTGTTCCTTTGGAAGGAAGATTAATTACCTCTTGGATATGATTTCCTTGACTTATTTTGGGTGTATGTTTGTAGGGTGCAGGCTAATCAACGTGCAGGAAGAGCTGGCAGAACACGCCCTGGAAAGTGCTACCGCCTATATCCCTCCAGGGTATACAATGATGAGTTTATTGATGTAACAGTTCCTGAAATACAGAGATCTTCTCTAGCTGGCAGTGTTCTTTATCTAAAATCGTTGGATCTTGCTGATATTGATATTCTCAAGTTTGATTTTCTTGATCCCCCTTCCTGTAAGTCTTCTTTCTGTTTATTCATACTTTCAGCAGGCATGATGATTTAATCTTTTTGATGTTTTGACTTGTTTAATTTCTTAATTCTTAATTAATTGTTGGAAAGTTTTAGGTACAGAAGAAATGAAGAGAATATGAACAAACCACCACTATTTTTATGTTTTCTCAATCTCTGAATGTTGGTTTTTCAGTATTTACTATTTCCTATTAAACTTGGGAAGTTGAGTAACTCTGAATGCTTTTACCACAGCTGAGTCATTGGAAGATGCCATAAAACAACTATATCTGATTGATGCTATTGATGAAAATGGATCCATCACAAGCATTGGACAGACAATGGCTGGTAAGAGATTTCCATCTTATTTGCCAACTATTACCATGTTAACAATGATTTCAAGGGTCTGTCATGGGAGTTGATAAGTGAATGGAAAACAACATAATTATTTTATTATTATCCTTTGTTTGGTTTCTCATATGATATCTATGGATGAATAATACATTATAAAATAAAATCCCTATAATGTTTGAGCTTTGGATGCAATCAACTTCTTGGTCACCATCATTAAAGTTTCTGTGGAACTAACATCAGATATACTACCTTCCTGAGTTCCTGTATCTCTTATATCAACTTCTTGATTGCCATTTGTCTGTTTCAATGCAGTGGGATTTTTCTTATTTGTTGATTATTAAATATATAGGTGTTAAAACTGTCACTCTTTGTGGTATTGCAAAAGTGTAATTCTGAATTCATTTTCCTATTTACTTTCTAGTGGATGCTGTTGATGTTGTCAAACTCTAATTTGCAGTTGAGCATGCCTATTAAAATTGTCTTTGCTTGTAGAGCTCCCATTGGAACCCTCACTTTCGAGAACCTTGATAGAGGCAAATGAATATGGTTGCTTATCCCAGGCATTGACTGTCGCTGCAATGTTATCAGCTGAAACAAATTTGCTTCTTAGTCAAAGGTAAACTCACTTGAAATTCATTTATGAGTAGTTTTTGATGCTAATGCTGCTTGTAGTTTTCATTGTCTACTCAGATTTTGACAAACGTTTGATAGACCCTCTGTACTTATATTTAAATTAATGTCCTATTTATCTGCTCAACTGAAAACAACTAGTCTTTCTTTTCATTAATTCGATATTATGGTTTGAGATTTCTTTTGGGTCAGTCAATTAACTCTTTCTTAATTCTTTGCAATTGTTCTAATTGATTGACTGGGAATAAGATGAATCTATTTTCCTTTGATCTGTTTCTACATGTATGCTTGTGTTATTTTTGGGGGATGGTTAATTATCTATTTGTAATTTCAGGGTAATTAGAATATGAAGTATGTAATTTTAAGTTTTAAAGTGCTTGTGCAGCCTTGGGCACGTCCCATAATTAGATTAACAATGAATCAGAAATTCATCTCTTAA